AGAAAGAAGAAACAAGACAAGGAATGTCTCTCAACAGACACTTGGGAACTAATAGAGGAGAGGAGAAAGGTGAAAGAAAAAATGATTCAATGCAAAGATGGACAAGAGAAAGAGACGCTGAACTCAACTTACACAGCACTGGACAAAGAAGTGAAGAAGAGTGCCAGGAAGGACAAAAGACAATTCTACGACAACCTGGCTACTGAAGCTGAGAAGGCAGCAGGCAAAAGGGACCTGAGGACACTATATCAGATAACCAAGTCTCTATCCGGGAAGAGATAAACACAAGTGAAACCTATAAAAGACAGCCAAGGGAACCCAATTACCAAAGAAGAAAGACAGATTAAACAATGGGCGGACCACTTCAAAGGACTCTTGAATCGACCACCACCTACAACCCGTCCAGTAATACCAACAACAGCACGTACACAACTGCAAGTTGACACCAATCCTCCAACGAAAACTGAAGTCATGAATGCAATCAAGCTTCTGAAAGCTGGAAAAGCAGCTGGACCAGATGGAATACCCCCGGAAGCACTGAAAGCGGACCCAGAAACGACGGCAGATATGCTGACTGCATTATTGCAAAAGATCTGGAAAGAGGGAAAGGTGTCTACTGACTGGAGGAAAGGTTACCTCGTGAAACTACCAAAGAAGGGCGACCTAGGACTCTGCAAGAACTGGCGAGGAATCATGCTCCTGTCGACGCCAAGTAAAATCCTGAGTCGCATCATCCTGGAGAGAATCAAGGACGCACTGGATACAGAACTCCGACCAGAACAAGCTGGATTCAGGAAAGGCAAATCATGTTCTGACCAAATTGCAACTCTACGCATTATCATCGAACAAAGCATGGAATGGCAATCAAATCTCTACCTCAGCTTCCTTCATAGACTTTGAGAAGGCCTTCGACAGCGTTGACCGCGAAGTAATTTGGAAACTACTCGAGTACTACGGCGTACCGCAAATATTCATCAACCTTATTCAACAACTGTACGACAACGACACATGTCAAGTGATCCACAATGGAAAACTCAGCGAAGCGTTTGGAGTAAACACAGGAGTCAGACAAGGGTGCTTATTATCACCAATGATATTCTTAATTGTGGTGGACTGGATTATGCGTCAGACAGTGGGAAACGAGAAGACAGGGATATCCTGGACCGAAGTGAAGAACCTAGAAGACCTGGATTTCGCCTGTGGATGATTTATGTTTGATGTCACACAAAATCGAAGACTTACAAGCAAAAACCGACAAACTGGTCGAAGAAGCAGCAAAGACACGACTCCAGGTGAACATAGACAAGACGGAGGTCATGAAAATAACCAACCAACAACAACAACAGCAGCAACATCCAGTGCCAATCACCATCAACGGGAGGGATTTGAAAGAGATTACTTCATTCACTTATCTAGGGAGCATTGTCTCAACTACAGGCAGGTGGAACGGACGAGGATGTGAAATCGAGAATCGGGAAGACGAGAAACACATTCATCAACCTGAAACCAATCTGGAAATCTTCGTCACTCACCATCAACAACAAAATTCGGATTTTCAATACAAACGTCAAGTCATTTTTGCTTTACGAATCAGAAACTTGGCGGCTCACCAAGAATATTTTCAACAGCCTGTTGCAGACCTTTATCAACAACTGTCTTCGCTGACTCTATACTGAAGATCAGATGGCTGGAAAGAATCACCAACAAAAAACTATGGGAAGAAACAAAACAGGAACCAATCGCCCAACAAATATGCAGGAGGAAGTGGAGATGGATTGGACACTCGCTGAGGAGGCCGTTGAGTGACATCGCGCGTCAGGCCCTCGAGTGGAACCCGAAAGGGAAGCGGCGAGTGGGACGTCAATGCAAGGGTGACATGGAGGAGATCGTAAGAAGAGGAGATGAAACAGTATGGAATAACATGGACGCAAGTGAAAAGTACAAGAGAAGACAGAAGCAAGTGGAGACGTGTAGTTGAAGCCCTATGTTCCACTAGGAACCCAAGGGAACAATAATAATAAATAATAGCTTTATCAGCTCATATATTACAACTTAATCATCGCTCCTCAACATGGGGTCATTTTTCCGTTGTCAAGTTGACCAATCGGTAAAGATAACAAATCCAGGTGTAGATTGTTAGATTTGATAAGTGAAACCATAGCAACACCATTTGTCTGTCTATATAAATACCCTTTAAATGTAAAATAATTACTTTCTAGACAGAATTTTAAGCTTAATTAATTAATTATTTCACTGGTGTCCAGTGGACATGTGTGTGGTATTGTTGTATGTGATTCTAGTAATGCTTGCTTGGAATGTGATGCGACATACATCGGACAAACCTCACCAGAGAGAAATCAAAGTCAGAAGAAATGAACACAGTAGAGCATCTGTTCGACCACCGAGAAATAAATCCAGTCGAACTAGAAAAGTTTGAAAAATCATCAACCAGCCATAGGTCGTCTACACGCTACGCTAGAGAATTAGGTGACAAAACTGATTTTGACAACATTGAAGTCATCATCCAGAAAAATTTCAGAAATCACAAAGAATGTCTGATATCATTGGAAGCACTTCATATCATCAAATGGAATGCAAACTGTCTGAATAGGATTGATGGACTTAAACAGAGTTTAACCTGGTTACAACACCCCACCAGTATAACCACCACGCATGAAGTGACAAAATCAACACGAATGTGATAAGCAATTTCACTTGCTGCTTTTATAATTTTATACACTTATCAAATCCAACAATCTACACCTGGTTTTGTCATCTTTACCAATTGGCCAACTTGACAACGAGAAAATGATCCCATGCTGTGGAACGATAATTAAGTTGTTATATATGAGCTGAGTGAATTTTGTAAATTCTGGTTTAATATCACTACTTTGATAGAGCTATTAGCAGCACTAAGTAGCGAAACGTCAGTAAAAACAATATCGTTTTGCTTTTCATTGATTGAGAAATACAAAACACCCTTATTATAATGAATATCATATACCCAATGCCCGGATTTTTTCAAACTGTTAAAAGTGAACTTTATTTGGACATATATAACTTATTATCACTATTATTATTTCATCTAATCGCTGTGTGACAATAGTTATTTTCCCCTCCTCCTCCACTTGTATGCACAGCGATAACTAGTAAAAGACTTTATGGAAGGAGGAACCCTCAGTTTTATACATTTATTTAATAATGGTCAAGTTAAGGAGAGTGGTTAAATGAATTTCTTCTGAACACACTCAGGTTTAGCTTCTTCAGATGGATTCCAATGACATCAACTGTGTGTAGAAGACGAACTCGTGAAGCGAAATTATTATTGATCAGAGTGTGATAAATAACTTTGAATGCTTCATTAATATCAACGCTATGTCCACCACCTACAAGTTGTGCTAAAACAGAGTTACGAATAGATTTTGTTTGTCCCTTGCTTAATCATGCAGGATGATGTTTGGAAATCTGATGACGAATCAGGCTAATCGTAAGCCCAATGTCATTAGCTCTGTAGGACCAGTCAAACTGGTAGATAGGGGATTTAAATGTGAATGACAAATTCATGATATCGTGTGGTATATCATTTCTCTTCACTAATATACGCTTATTGAAATAGTGGATTTTATATGCTGCAAAACTTATTAAACGAATTACTGACATCATTATTTCTATAGTCTTTATGAAGTAACTTACTTTACGATGTGTAATGGATGTTCAGTTCTTATTCAATAAGGAATTCTATTGAAAAACTGGTAGTGTAGCTTTGGATTCACAGCTAGGAAATAGTGATAGAAGTGTCCATAATCTTGTCAGTGTTCTACACAGTTGCTGCAAATGTGCAGAAGCTACTTGACTACCTGTATGGTGAGAGCTGGCTGCTAGCCAAAGTTGGTAGACAGTAATTGACGTCAATGTTTATGTCCCCAATGTTGGTGGTGAGAAAATGAGAACAAAGGCTTTGCGTAGGCGGATACAGTTAGCATATGGATGATCTGACACAGCCACAAAGAGATGAACGATTAACGTTCAGCCAGAAACCACCAATCAAAAGACTGTATTTTCTACTAACAATAATCTACAATAATGTACATTAAAATCTATAAATATGTGTTGATTTTCTTTAATAAACGATCTGTTGCCTGGCCCTTGTCTTCTGTTGTTATACCAGTAGTAAAAAAGGAATCACACCTAGAGGTATTACAAAGTTCGCAAAGAGTAAGAGGACGCACCACCAGTTGTCTTCAAGTGGTTCTCCAACTGAAAACTTAATAAAAAAAAGGAGAGATACTATGTCAGCAGTAAACATATTTGTAAGAAGCCAATTTTTTTAGTTGCCTAAATGTTCAACTTAAAATTTACGTTTCAATTTGGTGTACTGAATCTCTTCGATTCATCTGAACCAATGATGGATCATTTTTCAGCAAACTTCGATTAGTATCCAGTTCACTTCTGCACGATGGACCCCCACCGATCACGACTTCTCTGCACACCTTCAGAACATCCACCCAGTAGCTAACAATAAGTTGCAGACTGATATTTAGATTACAGAATTTGTGAGGATTTAAGCGTCCCAGGTTTTAACCTTGGTGGGGTCTTGGGTGTACACTGATGAAGAGTCTCTAAACAGAACGAAACAGTTGTCCAGTGCTCTCTAGTTTTCAGTGGTCCCTCTAATTGATGTTGGTTGATTCGGGACGAAATCTAACAATTCAAATGAAATTAATTCAAATCCTTTGCTTTCCGAGTGGAGAATGAGGCTTCAAGCTTCAGCTTTGAAGTTTAAGTAGCAGTGGTGACTTTTACGGAGTGGGGGTCTCTAGCCTCACACTCAACCTACCCTATCTTTCTCGGACTCACAGCCTGCTAGGGGAGGTAAAGATGTGCGCCGGTCGGGAGTCGAACCTCGGAGCATATGTATAGTAGGCTAGCTATCCTACCGATGAGCCACAGACGCATCTGCAAACCTCATAATCGGAAAGAAAAAATGATGAATAACTGATCAACTGAGAGTATAATATTTCTATTTTATTAAATAGACACGTATACGTATAATTTTAAACATACATTTTTGTTGCCGTTTTATAGAAACGGACGGATATACTGAAATGTTTATTTACTACACAAAAATTTATATATATGTGTAATATGCTTTTGCTTTATATATGATATGTTTGAGGTTATCATATAGGTAGGTGTATATATATTCACGAGGTTAACTGAAACAAACAAGATAAATAAAGGCTGACGACAGTGATACAATCTTTTTCTTTTCACAAAGATGTTGTGCCTTCGCCTCAAGGCAATACACACACAAGAGTTGTAAAGGAAATAACAAGAAATTAAAAACTGAAACAAGAACTTGAAATAATTTCCACATAAAAAAGGATGAAGAGAGAGACCAGGAAAAAGCACACAAAAAATAGATCTATAGAATTTACTTTATAAGTAATAAACAGAACGTTATAAGAAAAGAGAAACATTCTGATGCTCTGAAGTTGTGTGTTCTTCAATTGTTCAAAAATACGAATGTGATTAATCACTCGAATGTTTTCTTCAAATCTCCTTCTCCTCCTGCTACCACAACTAAATAATTTTCAGAATCCATATCGTTTTAAACTGGTAGAAAACAAAAGTTTTAGCCCATTGGAGTTAATTTACCAAATTGCATAACCTTTCTTTCTACTTGAGATAAATATTTGTCAGGTATACCAGCTTCTCTGAAAACAAAAACAAAGAAAAAGGTTTATTATAGACAGAATTCATGAATTTGAATTGATAAGACAGATGATGTGTAGCATTGATATAGGTATATAGTGAGATTTCACTATACATATATATCCCCTCGCAACTGAAGTATTTGTGAATATGGTACGTATTCTGACGATTCAAAACTGAATAGCTTTCTGTCAGACATAAGCCATCCCTTCTTCATCCCCCCTTTGTCTTTCCTGAGTTGCTCATGTTGTGAAGGGTATTATAGGTTGTAACTAGGGCAAATAGTGTGCCACTGAGTCGACTCATCACTTCTGTAGTCACCAGACACCTGAACTCATGTGAGAAATGGGCTAAATCTATACTATCTGGCTCTCAGCGCCGTATTTATTCACAACTCTCCCCGCCTTGTATCTCATCAGGTAGCAGTAAAAGTCAATATAAAAGATTATATGTCCGCTAGCACAACTAAGTACCGAAACTCCACGATATCCTATTAGGCCCGCATTCTGTGATAGAGAAAATGTTAAGTGTTAAACTTATAATTTACTACGTAATCAGCAAAATCAATGGCTCTTTAATCGTCTATTTGTAATTTATGGTGTCACTATTACGATTATCTTATAATTTTAGTTATTATCAATATATACTTTCTGTACATTTTTGTTATTATTCCCTTGCATTCCGAGTGGAACATAGGGCTTCAACAATACATCTCCACTTTGTTCTACTTTTTGCCATCCTCTTCAACTGGGTCCACGATTGACCAAACTCTCTCATCTCTTTCTCATATACCTCCTCCATGTCACCCTTGCACCGATGACCCACTTGTCGCTCACCACTGGGATTCCATTCAAGGGCCTGGCGCGCAATGTCATTCGACGGTCTCCTCAACGTATGCCCTATCCATCTCCATTTTCTCCTACATATTTGTTGAGAGAGCGGCTCTTGGTTGATTTGTTCCCATAATTTCTTGTTGCTTATTCTTTCCCACCATTTGATCTTCAGTATGAAGCCAGCGAAGGCATCTATTGATGAAAGTCTGCAACAAGCTGTCGGAAATCCTTTTTTTGACACGCTGTCCAAGTTTCTGACCCGTTTAAAAGAACAGACTTGACATTGGTGTTTAAAATGCGAATCTTGTTCTTTATTTATGGTGGTTGAGTGAAGAAGGTTTCCATACTGGTTACATGTTGATGAAAGCATATCTTGCCTTTCCGATTCTGGCTATTGTTGACATCTCCATCCGTTCAACGTGCCTGTAGCTGAAACGATGCATCCTAGGTAAGTGAAGGAGGTAACCTCTGTTAAATCTCTCCACTTGATGGTGACCGGTGCCAGCTGTTGTTCTTGGTTTGTTATCTTCATCACCTCCGTCTTCTCTATGCTCACCTGAAGTCCTGTCTAGTACATTTTTGAATTTATCGTTACTGCTGATGCTAAAAATAAGTTCCTGTTACCTGTTTTGGTCACAAATACCATATAATGTTTTTTTGAGTGAATAAGATGCAATATTGTAAGAAATGCTGAGAATTCTTTGCTGTATCACAAGTACTGTTTTGAAATAAAGCAAATCACTATTACTATTATTATTATTAGGTGCATCATGCTTGAAAGCGTGGCAACCAGATTAAAGGATACTGGCACTTGGAAACAGCTCGCATTCTGAGCCACGATTTCTGCTTAAGGACTGATAATAGTACCTAGTTTCCTAGGCCGAAATAAGTACAGCGGGATTCAAAATCGAGATCCAGCTTTGTAAAAGTTGAGTACCCAAAGCAATGAACCGGTTCTCTAACGTTCTGTATTAGAATCTGTTCTCTCTAGAATCACTGAGACTATTTCACTTTTACCGTTTTCATTAGTGAATTGTGAATACTCATTTATTGTGATTTCATTGACCCTCTACCAGGTTTATGATTTTAAAGTATATCAAGAGGACTTAATTGATACTTTTAGGGGTTAATCTGACAGGTCACCGATTTGACAAGAATCATTCTGGTGCATTAAATCCTCTCGCCCTAACTTTCATTGCTTGAAATTCAGGACACTTTGCTAAACTAAGACTATCTCAACCTAATTGCAATTATACATTTAAATTCTTATTATTATTGTTCCCTTGGGTTCGTAGTGGAACATTGGGCTTCAACTGCACGTCTCCAATTGCTTCTGTCTTCTACTGTACTTTTCACTTCCATCCATGTTATTCCATACTGTTTCAACTCTTCTTCACACGATCTCCTCCATGTCACCCTTGCACCGACGAACCACTCTCCGCTTCCCTTTCGGGTTCCACTCGAGCTATGGCCTGACACGCGATGTCACCCAACGACCTCCTCAGCCAGTGAGTGTCCAATCCATCTCCACCTTCTCCTGCATATTTGTTGAGCGATTGGTTCTTGTTTTGTTTGTTCCCATAGTTTCTTGTTGGTGATTCTTTCCTGCCATCTGATCTTCAGTGTAGAGCGAAGACAGTTGTTGATAAAGGTCTGCAATCTGTTGGAAATATTCTTTGCGACCCACCAATTTTTTGTGATCCGTATAGAAGAACTGACTTGACGTTTGTATTGTCAGTTCTTCTATTCATTTAAATGCTTACTTCCAATACAGTAGGCCGTGTATCCAGATCATCAACAGCTGTCTTTGCTGGATCCATATTGAAGATCAGATGGCTAGAAGAAATTCACACTTGGGTCTTGTATGCGTGTTTCTGAAACACAACATACATCAATGGTTCGGGATGCCAAAGTCTTGGCTAGTGATGCCTGTTGTCCTATTTGGCAAAGTGTCCTAACATTAAATGCCCCTATATGAAATTGGTGACGTGTCTTTAGGAGACTATCGATGGTGGTTTTTGGCTTTCGTCGTTTTCAGTGCACACAGAGTGAAGAGGAAGTGAAGAGCCATTAAGTAGAGGAGTTGCATTAGTAGAAGGAAGGCGAGATAATAGAGATGAAGATGAAGACAAAGGTGAGTGAGGATTAGAGGGGTTTCGCGTGCACTTCGGATTGTGAGGGCGATTGTTACTTCCCGGCTGCCCACACCGTGGAAGTTGGTCGCGTGACCGCAGAGCCCAGCGGACAACTGCTTGAGGCCGGTCACACACGACCTGTTTTTGTTTGTTGTTTTTCATTTGGTGTGTCTCAGTAGCGTATTTATCACTTCTGCCCTGTGGCACGGCAGCAGAAAGCGCGGTCGTTGTTAATCCGGGCCCCGACCGATCCGGCATGATATTTTGTGATTTATTTGAAGTCATAGGATTGGATTGGGTAACTGCTTTTAGTCTAACCGCTATCCAAACAACCTTTTTGGCATGGTAGGACCTGCAGGAACATAAGTTCTAGCCAGTATAGCTTGTTGGGTCATTGCGGTGTTCAAGCCCGACCACCACGTCAAGGTAGCAGCTTTCGGTCGGGCTAGAAGAAATTAGCAACGAGAAACTTTAGGAACGAATCAACCAAGAGCCTATTACTCAACGAATATGCTGAAGAAAATGAAGATAGCAGGGACACACGCTAAGAATATGGTCGAACAACACCGCTCGCAAGGCCATTGCCAGAGTGGAACCCAAATGGGAAAAGACAAGTTGGGTGTGGTTCTGTCAGTGACATGGAGGAGAAAATGAGAGACTATGGCAATCGGGAGACCAGTTAAAGAGGACTGCAAAGAGTAGGACAAAGTGGAGATGTGCTGTTGAAGCCCTATGTTCCACTCGGAACCTAAGGGAACAATAATAATATCAAATGAATAATTAGAAAATGCCTGCAACATAACATCTCAGAAATTTAAGTGATTGGGACGGAATATTGGATAAACAAAGGAATATTAGAAATTTATAACGGTTACAGTTTTAAATTTACCTAGAAAGTGGATAAGTGTGGAGTAAGTACCAATACTCCACAGAAAAGAATAAAGAATTTTTTATGTACTGTTAGTCAAATACTAATTGCAATCACTGTAGAGTGCCTTCTCCCCCCCCCCCCCCCGAATTAATGATCATGATCTTATTTGCTTACAGGTTAGAAAAATTTTACTGAACAGATTTTATAACACACACAAATGATCGACTTACTTCAATTCTTTCAGTTTACGCATTTTTGCCTCATTCAGACGTAATCGTCTTAATCGGGCTTCTTCATTCAATCGAACACCTTCTTCAAAAGCTGCATTTCTTTCAGCGATACGTTCTCTTTCTTTCTCGCATATTTGACGGCGAAGATCCTTCAAGTTTTGAGCACTTTTCATTTTAGCTTCATTATCAGCACGTTTATCATTTTCTAACAGTTCCTGTTGTCGTCTTGTAAAATAATAATAATGACAATTACAGTACTAATTATTGTTATGACTATAAACTTGTGGAAATATTAATTATCAAATCTTGATTCCCAGGGATTTGATTGGCCACAGGATTGGTCACGAGCTGACATTAGTTAGAGAACCATCGGAAAACCTGAGAGTACTGGATAGCAGTTGCATCCTAGTTTAGGACTCTTCAGTGGTACACACCCACTGTGGACTGAACTCAGGACCTTCCGATTACGAGGCGAGCTTGTAGACCACTCAGTCACTGGAACCTGACCAACTGATCCATGAATTCCAACTTCTGCCAATATGTGATACATATTTATCGCAACTGTTACTCGGTACTGCAGGCGAGTAACTGTCCTGTAGCCTGGTTTGGTGGACTGCGCTGTTGATGAGGAGTCATAAACTAGGACGAAACATCTGCTCAGTACTCTCAGGTTTGAAGAAAGCAAGAACTACAGTTTTAGCAGAATAAAATGCTACCATCTTTTATTTCGTTGCCTTCTCGTCAGCTGCTTACAGGGCAAAGACATTATTAAATGTATCTACAAAACAATTTTAACATACTTGCACAAAGTCATGCTTCACACTTACTCAGATTATTCAGTGATGCACACGTCAATATTGAGTTCACGATGGAACATGAAAGTGACGGAAAGTTTCACTTGCTCGACATCGCCATGGAACACCAAGAAGACGGTAGTCTTCAAAAGTCATTTTATCGAAAGTCTACATGGAAAGGACGATACTTATATTTTAATAGCTATAAACGAGCACTGGTCAAGACTCTGTACTATAGAGCGAGAAGAATATGCTCTATAGAGAAATTAGAGGAAGAATTTGAGTTTCTTGAAAAGACATTGAAAAGCAATGGGTACTCTCAAAGGTTCATCAACAAGTATGGAAGATCTGAAGTCACAAATGTAAAACAAATCACAGTGAGAAAAAAGCCAATCTACTTTCAGTTTGATTATGAAGGTGAAAACATTTCAGCGATGATCAACAGAATACTGAGCACATCAGTAGCCATTGCCTATCCTGCAGCTAAGCTCGTTCCCGTCTATCGAACAACTTGCTCTTTGATGCAATCAAAAATCGATAGATATCCTTATCGTGTTATCTCCAACTGTATATACAAATTTACATGTATCTGCGGGAGCAATTACATTGGAAGGACATAAAGAATGGCATATCTACGATTTTCTGAACATGTACCGAAAAGCTTACGTCTAAAGGGAACAAAAGCTTTAAACAGTGCCATCGCCAGGCATCTCCTCGACACGGGTCATGAGGTGGACGTCGAAAGGTCGTTCAAAATTATCAATAAGCAAAAGAGCTCAATTCTCCTTAATTTTGATTAAGCCATTTCCATCAAGCGCCTGAAACCTGACTTATGCATTCAGAAAGAAGCAGTTATCAGTCTTTCTTTGTCCTGGTAACTGGATATTTTTCATCCGAATGCGAGATGCTGAAAAGTTCTCATTGTGTATGATTATAATGGTTTGGAATAGTTTTAATAATGCATTTATATATGTATATATTATTAGTGTATGCGTATATTGATCGATTGATTTTTGTTTAAAATGAACTCTGTGCAAGTATGTTAAAATTGTTTTTGTAGATACATTTATTAATGTCTTTGCCCTGTAAGTAGCTGACGAGAAGGCAACGAAATAAAAGATGGTAGCATTTTATTCTGCTAAAACTGTAGTTCTTGCTTTGTTCAAATTCATTAAGGGCAATAAATGTATGAAACGCTCAGGTTTTCCAATGGTTCTACAACTGATATCAGTTAGTGATTAGTCCTATCGAATATTTTCAAGTATTGGTTTGGCAGAAGTTAGAATTCAAGGACCATTGGATCGGGTCCCAGTGGCTCAATAGTCTACGAGCTCGCCTTGTAACCAGAAGGTCCTGGGTTCGAATCCCGGTGGGCGCGTACTGCTGAAGAGTCCCAAACTAGGACGAAACAGCTGTGCAGTACTTCCGGTGGTTCTCTAACTGATGTCAGCTCATGATGAAATCCTCCATACAACTATAGAATATTATCACAAAATTTCAACCCAAAACCAAAAATGTTATGCAATAGCACTAGCTGACTAGACACAGTAACTTTTCTCATTGTGGGGATGTGAACTACACTTGTAAGTCAGTGATACATATGTCAAATTTAGCTATTAAGCTTGACTTTACCCAGTCAATAATGTGAGTTTTTCATAAATCATCTCATTAACTTTCTCGGCATAAATCTTACCTAATTCTAAATACCTGATCTGACTGGGAAGTACACAAACTACAGTCAACAGATTGTAAATGACTTCTATTTGGCAATTACCGTTGCCTACCCGTTCGACAAACAGCCTCTCAGGTCACGAAAATATTCCCTTTTTCAGATTAACAGGATTTTTAATACTGGTTTGTAAAAAAACAACAGACTAATCTTTTCTGCGTCCATCAAAAATCACTTCAGTTGAAAAGAAAAAGAGGATTGATAGTTCGATCAACTGATAATCTATCTCTCAAGGACAGAGAGACAGAAAGTGAGTCAATAAATTCGGAGGTGTGATCAAAAACATCTTATGAATTATTTTTTAATGACAAATCGTTATAAAGTGATAAAATCCATTAGTCATAGTTTGATTTAAACAGCTTGTCGTCTACATTACCATTTTTAGTACAAGTTTTCAAGTTTCAATATTTTAGAAAAGAAAAGAAAAGAAAACCAACAACAGTATCCTGCGTTGTTTAACTATTTAGTTATCAGCAGCAAAAGGCTAATTCAGTTGGGTAAATAACAAACCCTTGAGACAAATACTTCTTGCTTACATCTTGACGTCATTTATTTTATTACTATTCTCTTTCTGTTTGTATGCCTTTTTGAAACAGAAAAAACAACAACAACAACAAACAATAACAAAAATGTGACAGTAAGAAGTGACGCATTCCCATTCAGTTATCCATTATCAAACTGTTAACAGTCTATTCTTTCTTTTTCACATAAAACATGACAGATAAATAGATACATAGATAAGCAAAAATATGAAACTATAAAAACAAAATGAAAGCATCAAATAAAACATAAAAGTAGATACTTTAAAATTCTTTCAAATTCCAGCCTTTCACGGCCAGCTTCAATGGCTAGTTGACGTTTCCTGTCTTCTTCTTGAGCTGCCCTGGCTAGCTTCAATTCATTTTCAGTTTCAATCTTTTTCTGTGCAGCTAATAATTCTTTACGTCTCCATTCTCTTTCACTTGCTTCAGCAGCACGTTTAGCTCTTAAAGCATCACGTTCTGCAGCTTCATCTGAGGCCTTTTCTTGTAATGCACGTAATCTTGCAATTTCTAATTCTTTCTCGTGTTTTATGCGAGCTTGTTCAGCTTCATAGGCTGCTTCACGTTCCTTTTAGAGAAAGGTAAAACAAAAAGAGCATTGTGAAGACAAGAAAATAACCCACAACATTGAGGTCGAATACAAATTTCTTTTCGGTTTGGTTTATTTGATATATCTCATAGTGTAATGGCATATGATAAAATAATTGGGAATGGACCTTTTTATTAATGAAATAAAAAATATTTATACATTTTTAAACAGATTCAAAGTCGGCCAGATCACCGTACCATAGATTGCTCTGATTGTTTGGCGATTGGCCCAAGGTTAATTTAAGTGTAGAACCTGGGTACTGTGGTAAAATGTATTGCCATTTAGATAATTTTATTATAATGAAGGGTTTTTTGTATTTCTCAATCAATGAAAAACAAAATGATATTGTTTTCACTGACGTTTCGTTATTTAATGCTGCCAATAGCTTTATTGTTAAACCAGAATTTACAAAATCCACTCAGCTTATATATAACAACTTGATCATCGTTCTTCAGAATGGGGTCATTTTTCCGTTGTCAAGTTGACCAATTGGTAAAGATAACAAAACCAGGTGTAGATTGTTAGATTTGATAAGTGTGGGAAAAATTATGAAAGCAGCATGTTATTAACAAGTGAAATTGCTTATCACATCCGTGTTGATTTTGTCACTTCATGTGTGGTGACGGTGGTTGGGTGTTGTAACCAGGTTAAACTCTGTTTAAGTCCATCAATCCTATTCAAACAATTTGGATTTTACTTGATGATATGAAGTGCTTCCGATGATATCAGACGTTCTTTGTGATTTCTGAAATGCTTTTTCTGGATGACGATTTCAATATTGTCAAAATCAATTTTGTCGCCTGATTCTATAGCGTAGCGTGTAGACGACCTATGGCTGTTTGATGATTTTTCAAGCTTTTCTAGTTTGACTGGATTTATTTCTCGGTGGTCGAACAGACACTCACTCTACGGTGTTCATTTCTTCTGATTTTGATTTCTCTCTGGTGATGTTTGTTCGATGTATGTCGCATCACATTCCAAGCAAGCACTACTAGAATTAGATACAACACAATTACAAAGATGTCCACTGGACACCAGTGAAATAATTAATTAAGCTTAAAATTCTGTTTAGAAAGTAATTATTTTACATTTAAAGTGAGTTTATATAGACAGACAAATGGTGTTGCTATGGCTTCACCAGTCTCCCTAATAGTCGCTGATCTTTTCATGAATAGATTGGAAGACAACATCTCTTCAAGCATACTCACTCCTAAATATAGTTAAGATATGTAGATGATAGTTTTGTAGTGCTGAAACGAGATCTGCACAGCTAATTCCTGGAGAAAATAAACAACCTATCTCTCAGAATCCAGTTTACTTCGGAGGCAGGTAGAATCAGATGTTGGTGAACTACCATTTCTAGACTGCCTGGTTAGTTAAGAGGAGGAAAAACGGACATTTTAGTACATCTATATTTAGGAAGAAAACCCACGTGTTAAAGAACATCATCCAGTATGGCTGCAAAGAAGAGTCACTGGTTCAATTAGAATCGCCATGAGTGAATACCTCGTGAATACTTGTCGCAGCATCTCAACTGACTCATCATTCTGAGTCATTTAAAAAGTAAACAAAAATCTACCAAAGGCAGTGTGTTTCTGACTTCTTTGTGCTATAGAAGCTCTCACCGTATGCATCGAAAAGCTGGAGCTGTGTGTTCAAAAGAGATTAGTCCAGCCTTTACAGCTACCGTGGACCTAGTTCGGTATGTTCCCTGTGTGTGTTTTTCTCTCTTTGTCTTCATTCAATTCATCCCTTTTTTCAGTTATAAAATCAGTTATTTTAAGCTTGTTTCCATTCTCCTCCTGATCACACTTGTAATCCGTTTAGAGTAACTATTTTACAATTATATTCTAATCCTGTGTAATTTTTTGTTTCTATGCCACTTCTAATCTATATTCACGCCTCCTAACTTGCATCTCAAGCTGAAAATTATCATCACCTTCGTTACTATGTGGAATTAAATAAATAATAATTGTGTCTATGTAGACTTATGTAAATAAATGCGATTGTATAGCTTTTGAGAATGAAATCGCCGAAAAGACAGATATCTTTGCTGAACTTCTTGTTCTTTTCCCTTTAATATCAATTTTAGTCACACGTTTTCACAATTTGTCGTATATATATTTTTCTCTCTATTCTGTCTCTCCAACTTTCCTTTGTTGTTTGTTGTCACTCCGGTATAGGCGTTGCGTCATCCTGGTTGCACGTGTGCGGTATTGAACTGATAAACAAAGCTTCAGTGATTAACCTCTCTCTCCACCTAACTATATTACTTCTTAATGCTCTCACTCCCCCTATTTTGTGATTACGTGCAAGTGAATCCAGTGCAGTGCAATGGCTGAGCTTTTTTCCAGGTTATTTAACTTAGCTAGGACAATCATTCTATGTCTAGCTAAATTTTTCTGTTCCAATAATCTACTTATCCCCGACCTACTAGTTTAACTGACCTATGTCATTGACCTAACAGTCAACATTACATGGTATTCGGTAAATTATATTATTTTTCTTAATTGGATTTGTTATGAGCAATCATTTATGCTCGAAACTTTATCCAATTGTTAACACTGCATTGCTCTGTGATATTTAAAATAAGCTTATCTAATTTGGAGTTGAGCAATATTGTCCAATGACGTTATTTCATGACCACAACGTAAAGTGGATCCAAATATGAGAAAAAAACACTTCTACCTCTGCAGTCATCGACTTAAAATGTTGATTTGAATTTTCGGCCGCTTCTTATCAGTCTGCACACATCACGATTAGTATTACAGTTGGATTCTTAAGAGGATGTCATGAGTACCGTCTATTGTTTACAAATATGCTAAGGTGATATAACCCATAGATTGTGTTCGGCACTGAATCTAGTTAGTAAACTATGTCACTGGGTCGTATACCAAATAAGTCTATCTAATACAGAATTGTATAACTCTGTCCTATTTCCCTTTGTCATATATTAATTTCATTTTCTCTCCTAATATGACTATAGTGAAAAATCAAGTTATTCTTTTTCACTTCAAACATATAATGACATAACTAAAGAATTTAACAAAAGAATTATTTCGACGTCTTTTTTCACATTTCTTTGCGTTCCGAGTGGAACACAAGGCCTCAATCTTTGATGTTTCAACAGCTGTGGTGTTGATATTAGAGGTTTAGTTTGCCAGCTTGACGCCCAACCTTCTCTCGTTTATCGTCTTACTACCCACTAGGCTAGGTGCAAGAGTGTATGGGTCAGGAATCGAACCCGCTATCATGGTAGTATTACCATGTTTCTTAATATTGTAACAACAGAAAGCAAGACACGGAAACCAAAGTATTTTTTTCATTGATCAAACCGCTGTTTATATGTCTACAGTTTATATTCGTTAACCAATCACTGAGCGTGTGATTTCGGTTTACATGAAATATAGTATTCTTTTGTTAATGCAGTATATAACCGTGAGAAATGTATTCTGTCTAACATCAATTCGAATGTTCAAAAAGATATACTGTATGCAGTATTGAACTGTGGGAATATGTGAGCATAACATTCCGTTGGCAGACATTGTCTGTATCACATCACGACAATATTAGCTCAGCATTTATCTTTGAACATACAGAGCACAAGTGAGTGGTCATCAGATCTTCTTGAAAAAAGGGAAGACCGGAGAAATACGAGAGATTGGTTTCATTTTTTTAATGTTTGGCTACAAAATTCACCACTGTTCTCCCTAGATAGCAGTTTTTAGTTGATTACTTATGATTCAAAGGCTATGTCATAGACCAAATAAAATGAAACCGTTTGTCCACGTAGATATGCCATCTAACTCATTAAATTACTTGATTCCATATGGGTGAGTGAACGGTTAATATAGACCATGTTATAAGTTAACAATTGCACATTTCTTTCATATTTTCACCAAGAATTTGATATAAATCATCACATCGTTGAACATTCTCCTCATCTAGAATACTAGTTTTGTTGTGGTGTGAAACAGATACAGTGTTCCCACGATGTATTATTCTCACAGTAAGAATCATTGTATTTGTTGATGTTAACGTCTGGATACTATTCCCACAGTTTAGCACTGCATTAGCAGCAGAATACTATATACAAAATATATTTAAACATTCTATCTCATGTCGTTTAATTTAAACAAAAATAACACGCTCAGTGATTGGTTAAAGAATATGAATTGTGTATATAGATGGCGGCTACATCAAATTGAAAATATACCTTTTACTTCTTTCTGTGTTTTGCCTCCTGTTGTTACAGTTTCTCAAATGTGTTTAACGCTATTACAAACTAATAAATCACTATTAAACTCGATTACTATGGTTATAAGGATCTGCTTGGAAGGATGTTCAAACAGAATGGCCTTCAACCTTATATAGTGAGATTTATTTGATAGTTTTCAAATTTTTTGCACATTCCCTGCGGAAATGTTAACTGAAAGTTTGAAGTTTTGTTATATTTGCTGGGTCTTTTGATAAAATTTCAATAATAATCCCGTAACAGATGTTTTATACAATTAAAAGTTAGTCAAATACACGGCATATCTACCATAGTCTAAGGCAAACCTCAACAATAGCGTCCCTACGGATGCCAACACACTGGTGACCTTGAGCCGACCAATCATAAAAATGAGGAATTTTCGCACAAAAAATGATATATTTACAAGAAAATGCATGAAAACACATTAAACAGGTTATCTCTCTCTGACATGACTTAAAAATACGTCCCAGTTATAATGAGGATTATCAGCTGCTAAGTCAGACTAGTTTCTCTACATGTATTTACCAAGGTGACAGAAGATGAGCTGTTTTGTGAATCGTTCATCTCTCTTATCTTGTTGTGCAGTCTTCCCCGAAGCCCTCGGTTGAATTACTATGGTTTCCAGTAAGAGAATCGACGAATCATCATCAGTCCCTTGACTTTCGTCGTGGGGGTGCTATGACAGTTCGCGCTATCAGTCTTCGCCATTCTTCTCGGTTTAATGCTATTTTCTGTAGCGTATCCAAGGGCATTTCAGTCCACTCTTTTATGTTGTCAAGCCAGCTCTTATTCGGTCGACCTCTCTTTCGTGCTCCTCCTACTGTGCCTTGTAGAATCGTTTTGGACAATGTGTCATGTCTTACCGTGTGGCCGAACCATTGTAGTTTCCATTTCTTTACGATTGAAAGGAGTGGTTCCTGTTTTCCTGCCAGTCTATGGACCTGGTGTAAGACATATTCATTAGTTTTCCTTTCAAGGTAACTTATTCCTAGGATCCTTCTATAGCTTTTGTTTTCGAAGGCTTGTATTCTTCTTTCTGTCTCTGCATTCAGGGTCCAGCTCTCACATCCATATAGGAATACAGAGAGGACCAGTGACGAGTAGAGTTTCATTTTTGCTGAGACGCTGATGTTGCTCTTCCATATTTTCCCTAACTTGGACATGGTGGCAGAGGCTAGGTTTAGTCGAATTTTTATTTCCTTAGTGGACCTTCCATCTTTTGTTAGGGTAGACCCAAGGTATTTGAAAGTTTCAACCTCTTCTAATACATGTCCATCAAGTCTGATACATCTATCTGAGTTGTTTCCTCCGTTAATGAGTATTTTGCTTTTTTCTGTGCTGATTTCCATGCCCACAGATTTGGTTGCAACATCAAGTCTTGAGGTGAGGTCCTGAACTTGATCAATGTTTTCCCCAATGAGGGCTATATCATCAGCAAATCTGAGGTTGGAAATTGGTCTTCCGTTTATGCTAAGTGTCGGTGTAAAGTTATGTAGGGTTTGTGTCATAATATGTTCGAGGAATAAATTAAAGAGGACTGGTGAGAGAATGCACCCTTGGCGTACTCCTATAGTTGTTCTGAAGAACTCGCCAGTTTGATTATTTAGAGATACTGCACTACTAGAAAATGTGGAGAATAAAACAAATTAAAATAAATGACATCAACTATAAATCTACCCGTAATCGTAACCCTAACCTTAATCCTTACCCTAATCATAACCCTTATCCAAACCGTAATTCTAACCCTAATGCTAATTATAATCCTGATCCTAACCCTAATGAGCTATTAATACATTGCCCAAACAGTACTTGAAAACGTTATCTGGGTGAAATTTGCTGCTTAGCTGGTGAATAGCGTCAATATTTCAGCTATGATAATGACAGGTGTCATTAGCCAACAACTAGCATGCGTTCAAGGTCATTAGAGCGTCCGCACTCCTGGGAGGCTATTGTTGAACTTCGCCTAGTCTAAAACGTTACAGTTCTGAAATTTGAACTCCTGTTAAATGAAAACTTAACAAATCAAATGTACCCATTGAAAATTGAACCTTGTGATTTGGCTTATTGACTTTTTCAATACCTTTTTTCCATCGTAAAGCTCATGTCCTTTTTATAAAGTTTTCTACCTCAAGCTAATAAATAATTAAAGTACTTTTTAGAGGGTTTGATCGATCTTAAACAAAATGATTTTCTATGAAGTATCTTGAAAAATCTGAAAAGTTAGCTTACAGCTTTTTCATTTTGAATTTGCATAATTTTCAAATCCATAAGACGATCTTTTTCTTTTTCAATTTCCCTCCGCCTCTTTAATTCTTCATTGGCTATATTCAATTCTGTTCTATGCTTTTCTTGAATTCTTTTTTTCTCCTCTCTGTTAACAATTTCTTTCATACGTTCTTCAGCGATACGTTGGGTAACTAAAGCATTTTCTTGTTCAGCACGTTCCAGCTCCAATAGACGATCTTGTTTATTTTGTTCTATTTGCTCCAAAACCATACAAGCACCAAGCATTTCCTGTAAAAGGGGAGTTAGTAGGCTTTCGTGTTACATGTATATATAAATATAGCAACATTTCGTTGAGGATATTACAATGGGTATTACTAAATTAGTTACAGGGTTTCATTATGAGCTGACATCAGTTAGAAAACCATTGTAAAACCTGGAAGTACTGGATAACTGTTTTCCAGTGGTTCTCTAATCACTGTCAGCTCATGATGAAATCCTGCAACCAATCAAATAAAATCCCTGAAAACTAACACTAGCGACTAGCCCTATTCAGCTAGGTAGTTACTTTCTTTCTACTAAGAAGTCATAACCAGTGGGGTACAGCACGTTAGATGTGAGGGCAGATACCCACCGATGACACTGGCTAGTGGTCGCGCTTTATCGTAAATTGGTGGAAGTTGGAATTCATGGAGTGGCTTTTGGATCAGGTCCCAGTGGCTTAATGGTCGACAAGCTCGCCTTGTGATCAGAAAGTCCCGGGTTCGAGCCCTGGAGGTGGGTGTATACTGATGAAGAGTTTCGAAATAGGATGAAATCCTCTGACCAACCAGATCAAATCCATACAAACCAACACTTGAATATTAATAAATTATTATCAGTTTTGTCTTTGCTAAACAAGAGGATAAGAGAGTAATTATTCCCATGTGAATCACACCCGAAATTGATCAACCTCATTAAACATGAACACATGGCATTGCTGAATGAAATAAGAAGCCATACAAAGTATTTTGAAAATTACCACAAATTTTATTTTGTAAATATCTACAGCAACGTAGTGTGTTAAGTGTATGTAAATGCATCAATCCTCGAATGAACAGTTATATGATAATCTACATCTTCTTGTTTTCTCAGTCTATTATAAGAGTAACAATCTAATTTGCTCTGATTCAAGCGAAGTTTTATTGCATTTAGAAAGTACTTTATGCAGATTATTCTTGTGACTGTCAAACACGAATCATTTTGAATATACATCAGTCATTTTTCCTATCCTACCAAAAGCATAGGTCACTAACATATGCATGACCAGTTATAACTGACGAATATAATGTGTTTAAGAAAAATGCATTGTATCACATATTACAACTTCTGAAGTCAGTTAACACATTCCTACTAATAAGGAAGTAAAATTAGTGAACGCCGGGGAAAAAATACTGATTGCATTCAATGAAAAGGTAGATGAGTCAGTCCACGTTCAACGAAGAATTCGCAAGTGGACAGTAACAAGTGTGGACACACATTTTTGATACGATCAACTTTAACACGAGTCGACATAAGTGAAAAACACATAGGCCTGCAGAATCCACATGATGTTTCAAGTGTCTGTGCCTTTTCATCAGCATATTACCTACCAGAGAATGAAGTCAGCAATGAAGAAAATAAAAGATAAATTAAACGAAGAAAATTTTCTTTATCGACGAAATCATCTTCAGAGGCTGCCGTACAGTCGTATTTATACTTACCAAAATATATATAGTCGTCTATTATTGAGTAATAGGGGTGACATAATTGATACAATTACTCAGAAGTGGCTTTAGAAGTGAAAATTAAAAGTTGCAAATTACGTGGTACTCGACGGTACAAAGATAGAAATTTGATAAGGTTAAAATTGCTATTGAGTGAGAATAAAGCTGGTAGTTGAGTGTCAATTTAACAAGTGTGAAGAGGGTAAAGCCTGAATGTACCCAGACGATGCCGAAGAAACTGCTATTTATGAGTGTGGAATTTAAAGGTGATACCGCAGCTGAGATCCTGAAGAATCGCTTATGCAGATCACTGAGGAAAGCCTTCTTTATGGCTGAGCTACGTATCAATTTCTACAGCCGACAAATGATCAGTGGATGTGTGAAGGATAAACCGCCGATTTGGGCCACCTCAATATAATTTTATAAATTCATCTGCTCGTGTGGAGCTAGTTATATTGTCCTCAAAAAGCGCACGTTTTCCAAACGCATCTCTGAACATTATCCGGCATGGTTAGCAAAAGAAAAATGCAAGACAATTACTAGCTCAATTGTCGAGCATTTGGCCACGTAGCTTAACCAGAGTCGTCTTTCAAGATCATCTACAAGGTGTAGTCAAATGGTACAAAGGGCGTCAGGTTTCAGCTTTTATATATGGCGGAGGCACTGGCGATTCGTCAAAACAACCCCGAACTCTGTATACAGAAAAAGTATGTACAGCCTCTTAGTCTACGTTGGTCTTAGCCTCTTCACTAGTCGTTCCCTGTACAAAATTTGGATTTTTTTCCTTTTTAATTTTACTTTTAGTTTGCTTTTGCTTTAATAATTAATTCACTGTTATCACTCTCATATGCTCCTTTAGTATATTTCAAATCCTCTTCACGCTTGTTAGATTGACACTCAACTACCAGCTTTATTCTCACTCAATAGCAATTTTAACCTTATCAAATTTCTATCTTTGTACCGTCGAGTACCACGTAATTTGCAACTTTTAATTTTCACTTCTAAAGCCACTGCTGAGTAATTATATCACTTATGTCATCCCCTATTACTCAATAATAGACCACTAAATATTTTTTTGGTAAGTATAAATATGACTGTACGGCAGCCTCTGAAGATGATTTCGTCGATAAAGAAAATTTTCTTCGTCGAATTTGTCTTTTATTTTCTTCATGACTCAATGGGTATTTTCGGTGATTTAAAGTCCGCAATCTGAAATGAATTACTGATTAAGACAGTCATGAAAAGACTTTGGATATGTTTGGAAATCAATATTTCAATACAGCTCAATTTGAAGTTATCCTGTTAATAAATGAGATTAATAGAATATTATCAATAATTGAATATGTATCAATACAAAATAATACAGTTTTTATGTTCAGCGAAGAAATATCTCTTCTCAACGACTTCATTTTCAAACTAACTGTACAGTCGTATTCATATTACGGAAAAAGGAGGCATTAAGTGGCACTAGAAATCGATCAGTCAATATCTCACATATGATGATAAGTATAAGGATAATTCAAATGATGTTCTGAAGGAGGTAGAGTTGAAGTGGATGAATTACAAAAAAACTCTCAAAGATTATTTAATAAGTGAATCGGTATACAGATTATTTTAAAATTGCAGGTCGAGTGTTGTCTGAGAAATTAGCAGTACGATGATGATAACAATAAAGATGGTGACGGTAACGGTAACGGTGACGGTAAAGTGAAGTGAAGTGGAATGAATTCAAGTGGTAAAATAGAATAAAATAAAAGAACATTACTATGACCAAGGTAAAGAAAGGTGTTTGACAAAATGATTTTGAGTACACAATTTTTGATTTTGTCCATGAATAGATGGATAGCTAGAGCTTCGATTATGTATGCATAAGTGGAGAGAACGTGACCTTTTGGAGTGATTGAATTAGGTAGGTCCTGTAGATAACCTTTAAGGATAAATCACAGACAAATCACCTACAATTTTAAAATCCTTATACCACTCCACTTGTTTAACAATCTTTGAAAGTGTTGTAATTCATCCACTTCAACTCTAACCCTAAGTTCACCACTTTAATTATCTTTATTCTTATCATCATCATCATTTCTAGTGCCACTTAATGCCTCCTTTTTCCGTAATATGAATACGACTGTACAGTTAGTTTGAAAATGAAGTCGTTGAAAAGAGATATTTCTTCGCTAAATTAATGAGTATATTTCGTGATTTGAAACCACCAATCAGAAGACTGTGTTTGTTTGCTTATAATAATCTATAATAATGTACATGAAAATCTATAAATATCTGTTGATTTCTTTAATAAATGATCTGTTGCCTGACCCTAGTCTTCTGTTGTTACACTAGCACAAAATCATACTGTTCTCCATGCAAAGCAAAATATTAAGTCGCATCATCCTGGAGAGATGACCTGGATTCAGAAATCTGACCAGAACAGGTTGCATTCAGGAAAAGCAAATCATGTACCGATCAAATAGCAACTCTATGCGTCACTATCATACAGATCATAGAATGCAATTCAGATCTCCATCTCAGTCTTGTCGACTCTGAAAAGGGCTTCGACAGGGCTGACTGCGAAGTAATATGGAAATTACTTCAACGCTATGACGTGCAATGCTCCAAATGTTCATGAACCTCATTCAACAACTGGCTATATGACAATGCCACATGTCGAGTGATCAACAACAGATAACTCAGAGAGGCGTTCGAAGTGTAGAAAGGAGTAAGGCAATCTGGCTGCCTACTATCGCTGATGATACTCTTAATTGTGGAGGACTGGATTATGCAGCAGATTACCTATGGAGAGTGAGATGACAGGAAATCGTTGCACGAACAGGAAGTCTGTAGAAGGTCTAGAATTCGTGGACAATTTATATCTAATGTCATATAAACTGGAATAAGTACAGGCGATAACCAACAAGTTGGGAGTGGAAGCAGGCACCAAAGACAAAACTTCAAGTGAATATGGAGAAGCCACAGATGATGAGGATAACCAACCAATAACAACAATAACAATAAGCATCAATCACTATCAACGGAAGAAATTCGAAAGACGTTACTTCCTTCACTCATCTACGTAGCGTCATTTCAAATACAAGAAACTGGCAAGGATGAGGATGTCAGAAACAGACAGGATTGGAAAGACATTGCAGACCTTCGTCACTGTCAAATCAGTTTGGAAATCTTCTGAACTATGCACAGGCGACGAAATTGGGGTTTCCAACACCAATGTTAAGTCAGTCGGTCAGTTCTTCTATGTGGGTCAAAAACTTGACGTGCTCGTCAAGAAAATCAATTCCAACAAGCAACTGCAGACTTTTGTCAACATGTCCTACCCTCTCTGGCTCCAAACTTGGAAGACCAGATGGCCAGAAAGAATTAGCAATAAGGAACTCTGAGAACGAGCCAGTCAAATACTTGTTGCCCAACAAACATTCCGAGGAACACAGCGGTGGATCGAACTCACGCTGAGGAGATCGCTGGGTGACACCGTGCGTTATTCAGACCCTCGAGTGGATACTGAACAGGAAACAAGGAGTTGGATGTGGGACCAAGGGTGACATGGAGGAGATCGCGTGAGTAGGAAATGACACTTTATGGACAATCGTGGAGTCAACTAATGAGGACTGCAGAGAACAGGGAAAAATGGATCTGTGCTGCTGAAACCCTATATTCCACTCAGAACCCAAGGGAATAATAATAATCTTATAATTCAGAAAAAGGACCTTATTAAATATCGACATAATGAGCTGCAAGTTACACCACGCTTTATAAAATCTGAGAATACTGAGGAACTGAAAATTAATTTGATACCAGTTAAAGCATCATTTAAGGACTGATTACAATAATAATAGAGAAACTGAGAATATTCACCTGTTCTTTGCGTCTTTTTTCAATTTCTTCTTGTATATGAATAGCATTCTGTCGGGCTAATTCCATCATATTATCCAAGCGTAACTCTTCAGCCGCCATTTCTTTTTTAATCTGTCCTTTCTCTAAAATCTGTTCATCTCTAATTGCTTGTATTTTAGCATTCAGAATCCATTCATTTAAAGCCTTTATTTCATCTTCTTGATCTTGTCTTTGTTCAAGAGCTTTCTGTAGTAGAACTTCCGCCTGTTTTCTTGTCTCTTCTTCTAAATCTGTCAAGCGTTCATTTCGTGCCCGGTTCAAATCGTATTCACGCATCTTCTGCTTACGCTGTTGAGATTCTTCCTGAAAGAAAATGTTGAATGAAGATCATGAAATAAAATTCATCTTAAATGCACGCATTTAAACAATTATCTGACTTAACAAAGTAGACACCTCGAATAAGACTTTTAATTTCAAATTACTGCACATAATCTGGACTGTTTGCAGTGAACTTTTTTGACTGCCTGGCTGTTGAGAATCAGTTATTATCGGCTGCATGAAATAACTGTTAAAAGCACGTATGTATTACCTTTCATTAGCTTTCAAATAAAATTCCCTGAAATGCTGGCAGGAGATGAAGGGGAAACATTGTAAAGAATGGAATCTTTGTTCATGTGGGGCAACACTGCTTCACATGATATACTACGAATTATTATTTTACTTGTAGAATTTTACAGCTAAATTATTCACACAGTTGGGTCTCATGGAATCTATGCAAATTGCTGTTAAGAATCAGATTTACAATCTGGATTCCAATAATGCATCGAAATCCAGTGAAGGCATTATTTTTGCATAACCAAGTGGTATGATCAGTTCAAGTAAACATATTTTTACTCCATTTTTTCGTATCTCAAAGGAGAAAGAAGAAGAATTCACTCCATATCCCTCTGAAGATATTTTGAACTCAGTTGGTGAAATCTCTTGTGATGTTCAATTCACTTCATATAATTTTCAGGTATTGGTTTTGTAGGGATTGTGTTTGAATGGTTGGAGGGTGTCATCATGAGCTGACATCAGTTAGAGAACCATTGGAAAACCTGGGAGTACTAGACAGCAGGTTGAAGGTGAGGACAGTTACTTCTCGAAGAGGACATTGCGAATTGGTCGCGCTATGTCGTGAATTGATAGAATTTAGAATTCATGGGCCATTGGATCGGGTCCCAGTTGCTTAGTGGTCTACGAGCTCCCCTTGTAACCAGAAGGTCCTGGGTTCGAACCCCGATGGGTGCGTACTCTTGAAGAGCCCCAAACTCGGACGAAACAGTTGGCCAGTACTCCCAGGTCTTGTAATGGTTCTCTAACTGATGTAAGCTCATGATGAAATCCCCCAACCAATCACTTCATATAATTTTAAAGATTTATGTTGTCCTACCAATCGTTATGATTCGGATCTATCCTTTTAGGAAATACTTTTTTGTAACATTGATTTTGATAGAATAAAGCGAATTCTTCATAAAGTTTTTTTGGGATTCGCATTTGTGTCCAATATCCAACATAAATGCTTAATTCTAACCAAGACAAGCTTTCACTACTCTCAAGTCTGTGTGGAGGTTAACAACACTCAGCATCAAAAATAAGATCCTGATTTTCAACTCCAATGTGAAGTCAGTCAGTGCTACTATACGGATCAGAGACTTGCACTGCGCGTCATAAAGAGCATCTCAAACAAACTACAGACCTTCATTGACAGTTGTCTTCGCTCAATACTCAAGATCAGATGTCTGGGCGGAAAAGATCAGCAACAGGGATCTCTGGGAGCGAACCAACCAGGAACCGATTGTGAAACAAATAGGCAGGAGGAAATGGAGATGGATTGGACATACTCTTAGGAAACCATCAAGTGACATCACTAGACAAGCCATTGCTCGAGTGGAACCCGAAAGGGAAGCGGCGAGTTTGTCGTTAGTGTAAGGGTGACTTGGAGGAGGTCATGTGAAGAGGAGATGAAAACGTGTGGGCAAACTTGGAGCCAGGTGAAGACTCTAGCAGAGAACAGAACGCAATGGAGACGCACAGCTGAAGCCCTATGTTCCTGTAGGAATTAAAGGATATAATAATAATAATAATCATCTAACCAAGGACTAATGTGAGGACTTTCTTTAATTTCCTTGGTAAAGTTAATCGTGCACCAAGAAAAGATCCCACACCATTTCAAGGTGGAGGTGTCATAAGCCAACCTAAATATATCTTCCAGTGAGGGGGTGTTGGGATGGATAACATATAATTGTTTGCCGTTAAGTCATGATTGGTGCAATCAGTCAGACATTAATTACTTATTCATGGTTTAAATTTCCGTGGATATCTAAACGACATATTCTTTGTATTAGGAATAAAGGTTGTTGTTGTTGTTGTCGCAGTTAAATTTGACTTCTGTGTCAATCTCAGTGTTGGGAATATTTTCAAATGATCAGTTGGCTAAAGTGTCGCGTCTGCAGTCGCAATCTAGTGACAAAGACAGACAGCAACCAGCATACACAATGAACACTCCGTTATAACAATCGCACAATTAATTCATTCGCAAATCAATGAGCTATCCTGGCTTGTCTGTTCACTTTCTAATTTTATTTACAGTGATATATATGATGAATTTATATTCAGTATTCTAACTCTATTGGTTATTCCCATGTATGTGACAGTAACTAATTGTAAGTTTTTAATGTGTCTGAGTTCGCTTGAGGATTATACAGACTAAGTACATTGTGTGTTTGATCTATACATCCATGTATTTACTATCTCACTGACTACCTGGTTGTCTGAATTTCGATTATTATTACTATAACCTGTGTGGTTCTTGTTCGATTCTGGGTAAAAGTTTGAGTCAGTACTAAATTTGGGAAAATTACTTCTAAATTCGACTGTGAATTTAGCACACATATTGTCTGAAAAAAAGCTTTAATACTATCTCTGTACAACAGCATGACAATGTGTAAACTAAACAGTCTTCACAAAAATCATAGTATGCGCTTAATTTACTATTTTACGACTCAGCGTTCTTTACTATTGTGGTGAGAGCTGTCTACTAGCCAAATTGGTAGACAGTAATTTACGTCAATATTTATCTAACTGATGTCAGCTCATGATGAAACCCTCCATGCAATCAAACCAAATCCCTACAAAACCAATACTTGCAAATATTTACCTTCCCAAGATTTGTCCTGAGAAACAACCAATCGGAAGACTGTGTTTGTTTGTTTACATATCTATTGTAATGTACATGAAGTCGTGAGAAACAACCAATCGGAAGACTGTGTTTGTTTGTTTACATAACCATAGTAATGTACATGAAAACATATAATGAATGATCTGTTGCCTGACTCTTGCCTTCTGTCGTTACACTATGACTGGGGCAAAGTTTTCAAGTTGACGAATAGTACTGTAAAGTGTTTAAAATATATGCGAAAAGCAGAACTACCTTTTCTCAATAATTAGCCCATTTTGTCTAGGCAAACAGTTGTATAAGGAAAAACGCAGTATTTATATTCAGAGAAGAAATATCTCTTTTCAACGACTTCATTTTCAAACTAACTGTACAGTCGTATTCATACTACGGAAAAAGGAGGCATTAAGTGGCACTAGAAATGATGATGATGATGATAAGAATAAAGATAATTAAAATGATGTACTTAGGGTTAGAGTTGAAGTGGATGCATTACAACACTTTCAAAGATTATTAAACAAGTGAACTGGTGTAAAGATTTTAAAATTGAAAGTGATTTATATATGTCCAAACCAAGTTGACTTTTTAACGGTTTGAAAAAATTTGGGCATTGGGTATATGATATTCATTATAATAAAGGTTTTTGTATTTCCCAATGAATGAAAAACAAAACGATATTGTTTTTACTGACGTTTCGCTATTTAATGCTAATAGCTTTATCAAAGTATTATTAAACCGGAATTTACAAAATCTCAGCATATATATAACAAACAGTTAGGGGGTGAGAAAATAAACATAGGTCAAGTTAAAGGGACATATTGAAAGTAAAAAAAATCATACCTCCAAGGTATTTTTACGAGAAAGAATACATAACTGCAACATCAAACTTGAATCTTATCGAACGAGAATCAAAAATATAGACGACTGTTTAACATTACTTGTTACAAGTCATATCTATGAATCCTTCCAAAAACTGTTTAATGAACGAGAATCTCATTTTCATAATGTCACTAAAAGAAGACAAATACAAAAATTCTTAAAACTCGAAGAAAAGAAACAACCAAAGAAAACCTCAACAAATGATATGAAGAATATTAGAGCCATACATAACATGTCAGACAAGATACTAACCGAAAGTGAAATCTCATTACTACAGAAAGGTCTGAATTTCAATATCACCAGAAAGCCATTATCGGTCCAGGAAATAGCACCTATCATTGAACCTGCTCTACAACAATTCACCAATGAAGAATCACAACCTGTTCGTCAAAAGATATCACACATATTAATGACACAACGAAACATACCATCTAATCTCAACAAACAAGAATATGAAGCCTTAAGAAATTTGAAGAAGGACAAAAGCATCGTTATAACGAAAGCCGACAAGGGAAATGTCACCGTGATTATGAACAGAACGGATTACGAAAAGAAGGCGATCGAACACCTATCTGAAGGACCATACTTACTCATTGAAGAGAAGAAGAAATCCGCCGAATTCAACAAAATGAAAATAAATACAAACAGAGTCCTTCAAGAAATGAAACCCAAAATTGGAAATCCTCTATGGTTTAAACTAAAACCAAAGTCTTATGTACCTTCAAGATTCTACGGTCAACCAAAGATACATAAACCCACAGTTCCATTGAGACCAGTAATAGATTTCACCAACTCACCGACATACAACCTATCTAAATACTTACTCTCGATACTACAACCCCTACAAAAGGACACTCAAAATATTGTCAGGAATTCATATGATTTCAAATCCCAAATAGAACACCGAGAAATTGATAAAGAAGACATTATGGTAAGCTATGATATTAACTCATTATATACTAGTATCCCCATTACCGAAAGTCTTGATATCATCTCCAGTCTTCTAGAATCAGATACAACGCTATCACAAAGATGTCCACTGGACACCAGTCAAATAATTAAGAGCTTAAAATTCTGTCTAGAAAATAATTATTTCACATTTAAAGGGAGTTTATATAGACAGACAAATGGTGTTGCTATGGGTTCACCAGTCTCACCAATAGTCGCCGACCTTTTCATGAATAAATTCGAAAATAACATCTTTTCAAGCATACTCACTCCTAAAATATGGTTAAGATATGTGGATGATACTTTTGTAGTACTAAAA